AATCCCTCACGCCCTCCACAACATCGCCGGGTGTTTTCGCCAGCGGCAAAATCAAGTGCCCCATGTACGCCGAGGTGTGCACCATCGCGCCAGGCGGAAGCAGCCGTGTCACACTGCCTGTTTACGCACCGTCTCCGGAAACGAAAAAGAACTTTGTCGACAAGCACAGCGGCAGCGGGGCCGGCACAAGCAGCGGTACGCCCAGCGCTTCCATAGTTTCGTTTCCTTCTGTCCAGTATCCCCCTTCCACTGTGGGCGGCAAACCGACGAGTGCCGCTTCTTTTTCGTCGGATCGAGCAGCCCCACATTCTCTCGAGAAGGGTGAAACGGCGAGGATCACGCAGATCGCTGCTTCCGACAGCCCGCTTCCCGCTGCAACGCCTTCCGTCGCTGGAGGCGGAGAGACGAAGATGGACGAAACTGTGCCCTTTGCGGGTCCAAGGGGAGGTGCTGCTGTTGGGCCGACGGCCTCTGAAGAAAGCCCTGCTGGGGATAAGAATGAAATCCACGCTGCTGCGCACGAAAGTGGGACCGACGGCAGTGCAGCTGTTGCCGTCGTTCCCGTTGTGCTGGTTGCTGTGGTCGCCGCTGTGGCTGTGCCCCTGTGAGGCGGACTGGGAGCAGAGGGCTCAGCAAGACCACCCCGTGCCCGCTGTCCATGCATCGCAGATGTCGCAGCCACGAAAATATACACTTGCTTCTTGTGCTTTGTTTTTGTATCAACCATTCACCCTGCCCTCTGCATTCCTGTTCATATATATGAGCGTTAAACACTCCCCATATCTGTTCTACATGTGTGCTGGAATGAATTTTGTAATATACTTTGCTGCGGATCCGCTTCTTGTTTGAGTTGTGACAACAGCTCATATGGCCTCTTTTGTTTCTTGCTCCTTTATAAGAATTATACGCCTTTTTGCTCTGGGGCGGTTGGGCACCTGATAAATATTGCTATTTGCCGCCTTGAAATTTCTTTTCTCCTTCTGGGAGTTGCCAGGTGGCGGCACTCTTTCCTCACTGCACTGCGATGAATTTGCAACTGTTGTGGTGGAAGGTGTTGCTTGCTTCTTGTTGGGTATGGATATATAACTATCTAACTATCATAACATTGCTTTGTTAATGCTGTACGTGACAAACCTTCTGTTTGGGCTTGGCCTCCCCAAACCAGGCATGATGAGGAATGCAGCCGTCTTTTTTTCCGTCTTCTTTGCTTTGGCCTCACGCAGGGTGGGGCTCTCTAATGGTGGAAGGGGCGGCGCGGCTGTGGCTGAGTGGCCGGTGGCCTGTCTCTGTTGTGGATGCCCCGCTGTGCCTGTGGGTATTGGGCTGTGTTGCTGCTTCCGCCTTGGCTGTGAAGGTAGGCGAATGACTGCTGCGCCATCGCTGGTGTGACGCCTCTCCCTCTCTCTGTCTGCGTGTGTGCCGGCATCCGTCGGCGCTGACGGGCGGTGGGGCCAAGTGGACAGTATTGAGGGTTCTGCTGGAGCAGGCGTTTTCTCTCGAAGCGCCCGTGTGGCTGCTGATCCGTGGCGTGCCTCTTCCACGCGGGTGCTCATAGGAGCGTTATTGGCGGCCCCAGAAGCAAAGCGCCACACTGCTGCCACTCGCTTCGCACGGATCGCCTGACGTGTGGTGTGGGCTACGGGCACTGGCATGCCTGACCTCCGTGCTGGTGACCTGAGCTGTGCGTGCGGGAACGGGAATACGGTTGCGCTGCAATTGCGTGCGGCCCTGGAGGCTGAGTACATATTAATGTTTCTCTTTCATTTCATTTCATTGCTGCCCCGTTGTGGGCTGGGCGCTGTTTAATTCACCCGCGGCTGCACTCACTTGTGCTGTGTGTGTGTTGTCCGGGAGGCGTCTG